GGACCTTGGAGGTCATCTAGTCCAACCCCCTGCTCTAGTAGGAGACTCTACACCATTTCTGACTGATGCCAGTCCAGTCTCTTCTTGAAAGTCTCAAGGGATGAAGCTCCCACAACTTCCAAAGGCAACTTCTGTTCCATCGGTTGATGGTTCTCACTGTCAGAAAGTTCCTCCTTATTTCTAAGTTGAATCTCTCCTTGGTCAGTTTCCATCCAGTGTTCCTTGTCTGGCCTTCAAGAAAATAGCTTGACCCCTTCCTCTCTGTGGCAGCCCCTCAAACATTGGAAGGTTGCTATCCTGTCTCCCCTGGCCCTTCTCTACCCTAGACTAGCCATGCCCAGTTCCTGCAACAGTTCTTTGTATGTTTTAGCCTCCAGCCCGCTAATTATCCTGGTTGCTCTTCTCTGCACTTTTTCTGGAGTCTCAATCTCTTTTTTTATAGTGTGGTGACCAAAACAGGATGCAGTACTCTAGGTGTGGCCTTACTAAGGCTTGATAGAGTAGTATTAGAACCTCTCTTGATCTTGATTGTATCCCTCTGTTCAATTTAGGATTGTGTTGGCTTTTGGGGAAGCTGCTGCACACGGCTTGCTCCTATTTAGCTGGTTGTCCACTAAGACTCCAAGATCCCTCTCACAGTTACTGCTATTGAGCCTGGTTTCACCCAGTCTATATATGTACTTTTGGTGGGTTTTTTTTAACTTAAGTGTAGGACATTACTTTTCTCTACCTTGAATTTCATTTTGTTAGATAGGGCCCAGGGTTCAATTCTGTCCAAATCCTTCTGTATCTTGAGCCTACCTTCTAGGATGTTGGCTATTCCTGCCAGCTTAGTATCATCTGCAAATTTGGTAAGTTCCCCCTCCTATTCCCTCATCTAAGTTGTTTATGAAGGTGTTGAAGAATAGTGGGGATGGGAAAGGAGACAGTCCTGACCAGGGAATGCTAGGAGGGAAAAAAACTGAATCCCAAAAAAAAAAGCTGCCCAGGGAAAGAGATTTTTCTCCCAGATTTTTAAATTTTATTTCAGTCTTGCCTTTATTATTTGTATAAAGGCTGTGAGCATGCGTAATGTGCTTTCCTCCTCCTATTTTCCCCACAACAACAATCCTGTGAGGTGGCCTGGGATCAGAGAAGGGAACTGGCCCAAAGTCACCCGACTGGCTTTCCTGTCTAAAGCAGGACTAGAACTCCCACTTTCCTGGTGAACGGCCCATAGTTCCCCAGCTGATTTTCAGGTGTAAGTCAGGACTTGAACTCAACATCCCCTGGTGATTGGCCCCAAATCAGCCAGTGGCTTTTATGTCTAAGGCAGGACTAGAATTCCCAGTCTCCTGGTGATTGAGCCAGTCACCCAGCTGGCTTTTGAGCCCAAGGCTGGACTAGAACTGTCTCCAGGTTTCTAGCCTTGTACCTTAGCCACTAGACCAAACTGCCTCTTTTCCATTTCTTTTAATGAGATTTTCCCATTCCCTCTCTCATTTCCCCTTTCTTTTAATGAACTCCCCTGTCCCTCCGATAGGATAGAGAGGGCTGAACTTACGTCCATCTTTTCTATCTTGGCTTCAAATTGAACCTGCAGCATCCCGATTAACTGATAGAAATTGGGGTTTACAATCTTCTCGGCCTCTTTGTGGGTACAAATCTTCAAGTCTATCAGTTTTTGCTAAAGGGGGGGGAGAGAAAAAAAAAAGCATTCAGTTACTGGCCTGCAATTTCTAACCACCCAAAGCATCTTGATCATTTCTGTGATATACTTGGTATCCAGGTTAAAAAAAAAATCATATTTACTCAAAGGAAGAATGCTTGTTTTCTTATATTCATTTACATTTTGACATTGAGTCTTTATTGATTAGCCCTTGGGCCATATCAAAGTGCAGAGTTCCAGAAACAAATTATTACTACAATTTGATAAGAGATCAATTTGATAAAATGGAATTTGATCAAGTACGATTTAAAATGGAATTGGAATAAAACACGATTTAAAATGGAATTGTAATAAAATACAGTCTAAAATGAAATTGGAATGGAATGCAATAATTTAAGATATACATAAAATACGATAAAGTTATATTTCGGTGTCACCCCTGCAATCTACCCCAATCAGTCCCACATATGCAGCTCTCAAATGAACCATTTTGTTGAAGTCCTGTGCTGTGTTAAATGTTATTTTCCACACATAAACTAAGTTGTTTTGCTATGGGGATCCCAATGGGTCCTTCCTTTAGGATATGGACCAAAGTACCCCCCTGTCACCCCCTTATACAAATAGGATGTGAGCCAGGTATGCTACCTCTGCCACTCCGCAAATGCAAAGACGCTCTTTGTAGGGTACAGAATGGAATCTGCCATATCTGACTATTGTGTCAAGCTGTTCGAATCTCACTCGCATAAACATCTCCCTAAGATATTTTGGCAGTTGCAACTTCAAATAGCTGTCTACTTGGAAAGTACATTTGTTTTTGCCCAGGCATTTCAAGCTACCCACCTTATTAAGGATAGCTATATGGAAAGAACAGATGTTGGGTTTCAAGCTTTTATGAGATACGAAAGGAACAGCATGTTGCCAAGAGAAGTTTAAGAAAGTAACTAGAACATTAATGCTACAAATGGCAAGAGATATAAGACCATACCATTACTGAAAAGATACAGGTTGATGCAATGAAAATGTATAATAAAAATTAAGCTAAATTTAGTTTACTAGTAGTATGTATAAAATGAAGCAACAATAGCTAGAGTTAAATAATGATTAATAATGATAACGATACATATATAGTAATTTGATAATATGAAATTTTATATAAACAACACATGGAGATTATGAGAGGAAGTTTAAAAGCTTTAT